TATGGCTTTATTGTTTATGAGTTATTGTTAAAATTCTTTAGAGATATAACTATAAAAATTATAGGTTCGAAATTATGGAGAGGTTCATCCTAGTCTCCGAACTAATTGTATAATACCTACAAATTTTCAAAACAGTGTGCAATTTTCTTATTCCTTTCAACACATTTTTAAAAGAATCATGTGCTATATACTATATTACTATTATCTATTACACATTTATATCACAGAGTAGATATTATTATTTTATCTATTATTAAATTACCTTTTACATTAGTAATTCAATAAACCAATATATAGTAGATAATGTTTTTATTAATATTTATTCTTAAAATAAAATTATATGTCTATAATAGCTAAATATATCTTGTTAACAGGTTAATAATTCTAAATAATATTTAAAAACTTTTTTATTTTTTATTTTAATTTATAAACCCGACCAATTATAGTTGTAATAATAAAATTAAAAGTACGAAGTACTATATCCATATATGTTGTCTTCATCTTAGTAACGCATAACATACAAAATCTTGTGTTCTGTTATAGTTCTATTTTTGGTTTTAGTATAAATATTTGAGAAATCTGAACTCTTATCAAATTTAAAGGTAAGAACATAATCTTTAGTTTTAAATTATGTACTTTATTTTAAACAAATTATGATTATTTATTGATTAAATTTAATACATGCACAACAAAATTAAATACTTTGGGAGTGGTTTAAGTTATAAACAATAATTGTTTTTGGTTTTGGTTATTTTTTGATCGTTGCCTAGTGGTTACTATTAGTACCAAATACCAATATTTATATTATTCAGATACCTATTTTTATTATTGGTTATCAATTACACGATGGCGTATAATTAATTTAATAATAATCTATGTGTATAAATGCAACTAGAAGTCGTTTTTTTTTCACTACAGATAACATAAATATATTCATTATTATCTACCAGTTTTCTTCAACATTTTATTGCCGATATTTGTTCATCAATTCTATGTCTTTTGAAAATCCAATGATATTCACATAAAATACTCTATTGATTAACCACTGTAGGTTATCAGGTAATGTTCTGAAAAATAAATACAATAAAAATTAAAAACAATTATTTATTAGATAGTTATTCTACATACGAGTAAATGACAAGTATCCACAATGTTAAATTAATAGTAATATTCCAATAAAGCTATTTAGGTAATAGTTAAAAATTGAACTAAATACTATCCAAAACTAAGTTTTGCAATTTATTGTTTAATATTTAATTCAATTATATTAACATTTAGCAGTTAATTGATCGAATTATTTGGTTAAATATCTACTTAAATTGAAATTGAAATTAGAAAGTAATACATTGTTATTTAAGGTTATTATCTATGTTATAACTAATAAGTGTTTTAATGTTGAAAAACTGCACATACCTTACAAGTTTAACAGGAAGTAAAAAATGATTGGGAATTGAAAAAATTCTTCGATTTTCTAGTATACCATTCATAACAATTTTACCAACAAAAGATACGGGCATTTCTGGTAATCTAGAATATATTTATTTTAGTTGTACATAAATTATTTCCATTTTTAAAGTATATAGTATTATTATTTAATTATTAAATTGTAATGTGTACCTTAGTTCTAAATGTTTAGATATTTCCGGATTAGTCTCTATAAAGTACGGACACACTGTCGTCGATACGACGGCTGATTTCAACGCTCTCAGTTCATTATGCAAACTCTCCATCATACCTAAATACATACAATATAAAAATATAGTAATGATCATATTAATTATTATTAATTGTTATAACTAATAAGTAATATAAATAATTTCGTTATGATATTTTTATCTGATTCAATAAGTAAAAAAAAAAAAAAAAAAAACTAAATCAGAGTATTATTATAAATTATAATATGTATGATATTAAAATTAATATTTACTATGATTTACCGTTTGTTCCCCATTTGGTGGCCGTGTAAGTAGATATTCCAGACAATCCACTCATCGATGACATAGACGATATAGCGACAATTTGTCCATGATTTCTTTCCAACATTGAGGGGAGTAATTCTCTATTGATCTATAACAATTTTTTAGTTATAATTTAAAAATAATTAATGCTCAAAATTGAGAACTAAATGTATCAATTTATAATGCATGTTGTCTAAGCAAATCAGCTCAGACATTGAAAATAATTTAAGCACGTGATATTTTTTTAAAAATTGGAAAATAAAAAATAGTTACTAAAAACTTTGGTGTTTAGTGTTTGATTTAGTACAAATTGTGACATAATAAATTAATTTTTTAACTTAAATATTTATTTTCTAAAATCTTTAGATAATATGTTACTAATTTTGAAAGGCAAGATTTAAATCAACAAAAATATAGTATATGGCATGATATTAGCATCGCAGTGTAAAGCTTACCCAAATTTGTCCAAGGAGATTGACGTTTATCAGATCCTCGATAAGCTGATCTGATTCGGGATTGACGTACATATGGGCTAATACAATGCCTGCGTTGTTCACCACTATGTCCACGGGACCTAGTTCTTTCACAATGGCTTTGTGCATGGCCTTGATTTGCTGTCGGTTGGTCACGTCGACTTTGTAATCCTTGGCCGTTCCGCCTTTTCTATTGATCGCCTTTGCTGTCTCGGCGCATCCTTCGCCATCGATGTCAACGCAAGCAACTTTGGCGCCCAGCGTGTAGAACCTCTTGCAAAGCTCGCGACCCAAACCTCGAGCGGCCCCGGTAACCTATAAGTTGATTGTAATATTTTTATTAGTCAATAATATAAGACTCTAGTACATGTAATGTGAATATATATATTTAGATAATTAAGGTGTTATGTAGCTGTATATGTTGATTCATTGTATTATTGTGTACAACAATATTAGTTCCGTTGTAACGATGAGTGTAAATTCTAAATCCGTCTAGCATTGATGCTATAATAATGTCATAATAATGTATAATATCAACCTAAATATTGTATTAAAAAATTTTGGTTTTGACGATAAAAATTGAGTTGAAAAGAATCTCGTGATAAAAAAACATAAAAATTAGTGTTTTTTAATAGGTACTTACCAAAACAACTTGTCCGCTTATGTTTTTTTTTGGAGGTTTATAAAGTAATTTTATTGTTGCCCATAAAACTGCGGGTACTATAAGTAAAATGCACAACAATATTTCAAATATTAATCGTATTGGATTGGCTGGAATTTGTTTGTACTGATATTGTTTTGAAGATTTATTTCTTATAATTGCCATGATCATGAATTTTGACTAAGTTAATATATTACGATAACTGATAAGCTAAATGTTTAAAATAAACTAAAGTTGTTTTGAAATGACCAATACAATAAGTTGTGATGATCATTTGATCATTTGCAATCGATCATTTGATTCAAAGACAAATTTATTTGAAAATTGCTGAGTAATAAATAATTAAATTGTATGTTAATAAAAATAAGGAAATGCAATGAAAATTAATTTCTTAGGAAGGTAACTAATTAAAAATGATGTCAAGGTTAGTAATATGGTAATATAATTTTATAGTAATACTTAAATATTTATTTCATAAACAAATGTTATTTAAAAAGTTTGATGCTTATAAAGTTAAAAGGTTATCTTGTTATTAGTGTTATTACTTAGAATTTAATTCTTACTCCTAAATTAATTAAATTACATACTTTGACATTCTCAAGATTTAAGTATACCCATAACTGTTTATATTGTCACATACTCACATATACCATTTACTGATTACTCTCCCAGTTTTAAAGTACAACTATTGGCATTGATTATGATTTATGACGTATAATAACAAATATTTCATGGCATAGGGAAAATTGGGGACTAAAATTATAGCAATAATAGCTGCTTGAAGATGACGTTATAATATAACGGTTATATGAATTATCAGACAAATTTTATTAAAATGGTATTTTATTATTATTGATGTTATTTTTTTGTGACTCGTGGGTCTCTGTTCCATTATTGATTATGATGTTTATACATATTCTGTAAATGTGAACATAATATTTGTAGATATTATTTTCATGCTATTTGTGATTTTATTATATTACGAAATATTCATTTACTATATTACTATATTATAAAAGTCCTAAATATGGTAGAAAACTCAAAACCTTCACGTGTTTCCAATAGTACATGGCTGTACTTGTAGATTTTAACAGAATACAACATCTTATGTATATATTTATTATGTTTTAATAAAATATTTACTTTTTTAAGTAAATTATAAATAAAATTTAAATTTAAAACATAAGGGAATTCAAATACCTCAAAATGGGTTAAAATAAGTTTATTTTTTAAAGAATAATGTAATAAGATAAAATAGAAAAAATTGTAAAATTAAATAATAAAGGATAAAATCTTATATAATGTTAAATTATCTTATCTAAATTGTGATATAAATAAATATATGAATAGGAAGAATATATAAAGGTTATACTCGTATATTATGTTGGACATTAATTAATTACTTAATTAATTTATAATATTAGTTATTCAATTTTTTTAAATATTTTTATTTACGCTGTAATGTGCAAGATAATACACACTAGAAACTCACCTCTTTAAAAAATAATGTACAACCTGAAAATAAAAACATAGCACAAAAATCTACATTAGTGTAGAAAGACTAAAGCGTAGCTCGATCAAGCGTGGTTCAAAAGAGCGGAATACTTTGACAGCAGCAATCTGGTCCACAGGTGACTGTTACCCATTGAACTCTATATGATAACTGGAATGCTCACCAGTCATAAGACCAATGTAAACATAACCGAGATAGCGTGTTAGAAAAAGACAGCAGATAAGAATGGTGTTGCTATCTTTTTTTATCACACATAGTTATATGAATTGATTACCAATACATTTTAAATTCGTTGTTCGTTTAACGTTTTGACTTTTGTTCTGCCTTCTGCGTTCTCAAAGTTTTAAAAATAATTAAAATAGTGTGTACCTACTGTGCAGTTAAGACTTATTTTAACTGTAATACCTTTTTTATTAATTTATAGTTTTATTGTCATTACAGGAAAAATATCTAGCTGAAGTCAACTCAACATAAGTTACATTAGTTAACTTAACAGATCATATAACTCCAAGGTTATGAATATAGTTAAAGTATCTACAAAGTATCATAGTATCTTTAAATATTTATTTATTTTAGGAAATTTGGCCATGAAGTATAACAAAATGTATTGCAGATTTTGTTTTTCTGGATATTTCCAGTACTAATATTTCCTAAATTATAAATCTACAATATTAAGCTTAAGTTAGGAAAGTAGTAAGTACAATCTAAAGTAAGTAGTAGATATAGCTCCAGGTAAATAGCGTAAGTACACTTTTATTTCAATTATGATTAATATTATAAATACTATGTTTATATTTTAATAAATATTATTTTACTAAAAATGCAGTTGTTATTTCATATGCTTGAGTTATGAACTAAAACCTTCTAACTTTCAATTTACAACTTAATTTATTCCCAACTTAAAATTTCCTATTACTTCCTTTATATGACAAAAAAATGCAGAAGTCTACAAAAAAACATGTTTCAATACTTGTTATATTATTTTAAATTATAATTATAAACTAATAAACTATTTATTTATCATTTAATTATTTATATTTTATTAAATTAATAAAAAATATTTTGTGGAAGTTAAAAAAAATAATGAGGTGCAACTACATTTTAAGAACCAAACTAAAATAATATCGCGGTAAAATATGAAATTAAGACATTAGCGCCATGTGCAAGACAAAGATAGTAACACCATTAGTATGTGCTATCTCATTCTAACATCCTCTTTCGGGCAACACTGCTTGGTGAGCATTCCAGTTATCATATAGAGTTCAATGCTGTTACCACGCGCGCCGATCTACCATATGTTCAAGCGATGACGAGGTGATTCCTCTACCGACTACCACTGATAGTCAATCGACCATGTCGCCTTATAGCGGCTGACAGTCCGGAATAGTCCCCAAGATTTTACATAGCACGGCTTATCTGTTATTGTACAAAGTCAATGGTATTACTAATAGGTAAATGTATGTTATGTTAAGCCACGGAAAAATATTAATGGCGAGTTTGCATTAAAATTAATCGTTTTAATGGACCAATCATAGATTACTAAATCATGTTTAAGAGACCATTTTTTGTCCACTATTATTTGTTCACTAAATGTTTTGTTATTGTTGTGCGACCTGGAATTCGTAACATTATTTGAATATATGGAAATAAATGTATTGCTTAGTTATTTAGAATAATATTAATGAAAACCTAAGAAAAACCATTAAATTAATAAATATTATTGTTAAGTTCAAATTCTGATTCTGAAGGGTGTTACCAATGGCCAATGGGTATCTTCCTTATTCTTGAGAACCATTGTGAACTATAATTATATGTTATTTATCAAATCTACTAATAGTATAAAATTTGTATAGATTGTAGATTATTTTTGTATAAAAAAAAAAAATTTTAATTTATTCTAGAATTATTGTAAGTATTTATTTAAATATATAAAATAATTTTATAGATAAAAACTTAGGTATTTAATAATATTTCATTTAAAAAATAATTGATAATAAAAATAATTTAATGACTTCTTTAACTTTAATCACTTGGATATTAATTCAGATATTTGTTAAAACACAGACAGAAAATTGGTGTAGCTACAGTTTAATGGATCTGCGTTCTTATTGGCATAATATTATAATATTTATAGGTAAGTGGTATACAGTGCCATCGAGTGTATCAGCCAAACAAAAATAATACTTTTAGTTTTTTTTTAAATTTACCTGAAAATGATGTTCGTTGTGTAGTTTATTTGTCATCTAATCATCAAACGTTTATAATAATGTACTTACTACATGTATTATTTACCTTATAATTTATAAGTTATGTTGTTATGTATAATTGTATAATATATTTATGAAAGTATAGCATGAGAAAACAATCTAGATATTTTAATGATTGATATTATTATAGTAACTATATGTAGGAACTAGAAATGAAAATATATTATATTTTTATGATTTCTCACTGTGTTAGTTTTACACGTTTACACTATATTGATTAGGTTGCGCCAGGTCACTAATAAAATACCTTAATTCAACATATAAAAAATGTTTTATTATATTTAGGTTGATATGTTCAGTAATTTGAAAATAATTTTTATTAAATAAAATAACAAAACAAGACCAATAATTTTAATGTGCTTACAAATTAAAAGTTTTAATAATTAAAACTAAATAGATAATTCTGTTAGCTATAGTTAATTATAATTTAGAAGGTAGGCGTATCACAATATTAATTAAAGATTAATTTTTATATATAAAAATTTATTACTATCATTTTAGACTAAAAATAAATGTATTAACTATTAATAATATTTTGAGTTAGGTAAAATGATTGTATCAATAAATAATATAAGCATATTATCATTCCATTTTAAAATGTAGGTATCTTAATCAATGTACAATACAATTATCTTAAATTGTCTAATATGTTATTAATTAATACTATAAAATAAAATATATTTACATAAAAATAATATTAGATTGTTTTTTAAACTTTAAATTTGTATTATTCAAATAAATAAATATTAATATAACATTAAATAATTGTTATAAATATTTAAAGCTCATAAAAACGTGTTTTGATTTTTACAATTTAATAGGTATTCAGATTGTGTAATTCGGCCATTCGAGTATTGATTTATACCGGGTCAGCACTTACAAAATAAACACTATTTAAATATAATATGACAAAATATCTTCAATATTTTCAAAATATTACAATAATCATCAAACATTTTACCTACAATACTTTTGGAGTTGCCACTTCTAACGTCATTGTAGGCAACGGTTTACGGTCGCCTACCTTCCGCATGATCAAGGAACTATTTGATGACAGTGTAGATTTTGGAATTCCAGGTTTAATCACAGTTTTCACGGAAACTACATTTTTTACCGTCGTCGAATTTTCCACTGTCTTCGCGGTGATCGTTTCCGTTTGTTTTGGAGCAGACCTTGAGACTATATTTTCGACCGACGGTTTACTCTGCATTTTTGTGTCTTCTTGTATCTCCACCAGCTTAGTACTCGTTGTAATTCCAGACTTTTCTATACTACTTATTGACCCTATAGCAGTCTGTGGGTTTTCAATTTTTTTCATTGCGACTAATTCTACAGGACTTTTTCTCAAATCTACTGACGTTGTTTTACCAGCTTGGGTATCTGCAGCTTTAATTGTATCAGTTGCGTCCATAGGTTTTTTTCCGACTTTTAAGGCTTCGGAAAATTTCGGTTTTTCTAAAGTTTTCATAGCGATCATTTCTGTAGGTTCGTCAGTTGTTTTCGTATTTACTGACGTACCCAAACCATTCACGTGCGATGTGTCCACTACGGGTTTGTCAACAAGTTTTTCGTGTATTGCACCGTCGTCCGTAGGTTTTTCCATAATTTTTATAGCGATCATCTCGGCGGGTTTAATTTCCTCAATTTCCACAGTTTCTATTTTTTTTACGGTAGTCATTTCATTTGATTCAACTTTGGTGTTTATGTTCTTTGTCGGGGTTTCGTCGACTTTAATAATTTCGTCATTAGTATTTTTTTCTACTATTTTTACATTGGATGATACGCTTACGGGATTTTCTTCGAAATTTGTCGAAAGCGTCTCAATTGTTTTAACGTCAGTATTCGAACCGTTTGAAATCTCTGATGCCTGGAAGTTTGTTAAATTTGTAGATTTTTCTATTGTTTTTGTCGCAATAGTTGCTGTAATATTATCGATTTCGACGGCACCGGCTACTGCCGTAGGTTTTTCTACGGTTTTTACAGCTACCATTTCAGAAGAGTTAGCCGCGAAACTACCTGCAGTTTCCTCTAAATGAACTTTTTCCTCAAACGTACTTGGTGCTATACTCGGCGTTGTAGTTGCAGAATATTCGTCACTATTCGCGATGTTTTTTTGACTATCTGCAAGATCGGTCTGAATGTTTATTTCGGACACGGGCGATGCAGCAGCCGTGGGTATTATGTCCTGCAATTTTTCTTGGCTCGAAGTCGACGTTGAGTACAGTTCTTCGTATCCCTGTGATGTTGTCGTGAGGTATGTTGACGGTAACTCACTGTAGGACACTTCCGGGTTAACCGTTGTTGTCGTGCAGTTTACGGGTTTCTTGTGATGCTTTTTTTTCGTTTTGACACCGTGACGGCGCCCGAATATTTGATGCATTTTATTGCTGCCTTGCAGTATAGCTTTTTCGCCGAACTCGTCGCTTGACAGCAATAGTATGGCGACATCGTCTATGTCCACTTGTAGATTGAATTCACCTTGTTGCCTTTGATCGTACGTGACCGTTGGAGCAGCCTGCAGGGCTCCACAGAAAACTGCTAAAACACAAACAATTCGTAACGCAACCACCATCGTGCTGTATAACTACACTACTAAAGCTCCTATTGCTATTACATGATAACTCGACAACGATCGAGAAGGTATTTTTTCCCCTAGCGCACTCACTGGCCATGTCTTTGTATAACCGGTAGTCGTAACAACAAACTGGAAATTACAGTTTAAATACATCATGTACAGTGCACGGGACTTAATTTTGCCTATAGTCGAGATCGTACGTTCAGGTACCGTTATATCTAATATTATATTATATTGTGTGTACACTGAATTGGTTAATTATATAGTTGTTCTGACCAGCATCGGCAGCATCGGTTGTGATTTAAAAAATGTATTATTAGCATTTGGTTGGACGGTCATCGAACTCGCTTCGTCATGATATTGACCTTTTATACATTACCGATAAATGAGTAAGTGACAATTAAATACAAAACTCGTTCTTAAAATCATTAACTTGTTTGTATAATGTGTATATTTTTGTGTAGGTAGATTTTAAAGACTGGAGAGGTATGTAGTATAATAACTCTGATAGTATTAACAATTTAATACATATATAATACATAGGTATTTGTAAACCTTAAGCATTAATAATGCGCGAAAGAAAAATATTATGTTAACATAAGGATTGATAAGGTTATAATACATTAATATTTTTGTGAAGTACAATAATGAAGGATTAGAACTGAATTTAATTTTACCACTAACATTAATTTAAACTTGAAATATTTTTTGTATTTTTAAAGTATTGCAGTGTTTGGTATCCTATTGGCTATTACTTTGATTTCATATAAATTATGTCGTATAAAATACGCTTAAAAAAAATTCATCTTATATTACAGCTATGTAATATATTTTATTATTATATACATACCTGCAGTCTGCAGTAGAATCTAAATATCTGTTACGAATGCCCAAAATCATGATTTTTCTGTGCTTTGTTATCAGAGCTATATTTATATAATATGCTTATACATATTGTATTTTCATTATTCGGATCATCTTGCGTGAATTTCTGCGAATCGATTCTACAGTCATGGAAATGGTTGTCTGAATTTTACTTCACACGCTATTCATAACATTTCCGATTATTTTATTATTATTATTATTGTAATATTTTTTATATATTTTTTTTTTTTTTGTATGTTCACAGTTACTCGTCAACAGAATTTATTAATATGCGTAAAAACTTACACTACATATATAATACCTACAACTTGTAATATTTTAGTTATTTTATCATTGAAGTACCTAGGTACTTGTTTAATGATATTTTCGTCAAATTATTTAGATAGTGGTGTAGTGATTATGAGGAAAGATTTATAGTTTTAGAAATCAGAATACTTACACTTTTAAAGTGATAAAACTACTGTAAATTGGAGCAAATACTTTTCAGACTCTTGATCTTGATCGGTCTCAGTGGTGGATAATTTACCAGAAACGTTAAAGCGTCTAAACAATCATGCCAACTATAAATGCACATTAATACATAAATGTATATTTACAATGTTCCTACATATAAATAAAGAATAATAAACACTATGCTACGTAGCTGATCACGTTCTGGTGTGGTTTAATTAAATGACCGAATAAACAATTTCATTACTAAGATCATAACATATGAGTATAAAGTATTAAAATATGAGATAACATGTGTGATGCGAATCATAGTATGTTGAGGGCAAAAAAAAAGTCGAGTGTTTACAACGACCAATATCGAGACCAGTTAGTCATCATGTAAAACCGCAGGTTGTTTCATTTTTCTGTAGTACGTAGAATGTATATTATAGGTACAAATACTATGTAGAATATACGTTCCCTATTCAATGTTCCGGTATTTTATTTCATCTATTTCCATTCAAAGTCTTATGCATTCCTCGTCACATGTATATATCTACTAATGATGGCCACGCTTTTATAGATCGAATGAATAACAATACACGTTATCGGATAATATACTTATCAGAAAATTACATTGTACGTGTTTTCCCATTATACTTTTTTACAATATATAATAATATAGTAGTCACGCAACCAAGTATATTACAGTATTTATTACATTTATAGTTCTGACAATCACCACTCGTGTACCATTGAAAAAATAAATTCCTACAAAAGTTTGGTGAATGAAGAAAGTCGATTTCAGATTTCCCTGCAAGTGCCAACATGCTTACAGGGTTGTTGTCCACACAGTGTTTTGTCATTTATATTTTATATCAAATTTAATATAATAGTTAATGTAATATAATTATTAATTATATTAAAATATTCAAACCGTTAATGTTAAATATGTTAACATATAATAAGTTGAAGCATTTATGTCTAAATATATTTTTTTCTTAGAAATATTTCAGTATTTTAACGGTTATTATTTATATATTACCTACTGTTTATATTTTGTAAAGTATTTTTCTTAACTTCATAGTCGATAAAATTTTTACGTTCCTATTTTAATTTTTAACTGTTATAGTGGGTGGAGTATATAAGTGAAAAAAAAACCATTGTTCCGATAAGATTTCCATCAAAACATAATCAACTTATGTGAGTATAGTTTAGACCTGACCGTCGTTGTTAAACCAATCATAATATACATTTATATTTTATAATATACAATTTTTTTCTTTAACTAGAATTCCTCACGTATGCTGGACGGTTGTGTGACGATTTTTTTATTCTGTCATTATTTCTGTATATATTTTCAGTATATTTGGTCACGATTCATTTGCTAAACAAGTAAATCGAAAATTCATTGTCGGTTAATGTACACTTACAGTTATAGTTGTTAAATGTTATAAAAAATAATCAGACGGCGAAGACGGGTGTATGTATATGTATTTTTTTTCATTATTCTTTTTCAGTGATTATTGAATATGTTTGATAATATGTATAATTTATTCATATAAGCTATAATAAATTATGATTTAAAATGCAGTTGCTTATTTAATGAGTCATTATAAGCACAAATTGTTTTTGTACCTATAATTAACTATACATGTATCTAATCTAATCTAATCAATATAAATATATTTTTCTTGACATTTATTTACAAATCAAATTAGGTAAACAATATACAGACGATTAGAGTTTATAGGCGAAGGTGTAAACACGGAAATACGAAATATTATATTAGTTGTACAAACATTTTAAAAACTAAGTAGCTAAATTTTTTTCACTATATTATTGAATATACTTTTAGATCGCATAATGCACACCATTAAACGTAGAAAATTAAAAAAGTATCAAATTGTATACACTTTGCATTATAATGAATTTCTATGATATAATTTTGTAAGGTTTAGCATTTTATTTGCGTACATTAATTATTGATAAGTATTTATCGATTCTGATGTTAGATTTGAAATCTATTGGATCATAAACAATATATAATATACATACAGGTTAGGTACCTAATATATATTGTGGTAAGAATTTTGTAGAAATTTGCGATTTGAATACAATATGTAATTAGGTTCTAATTACACATCACTAGGGGGCTTCGTTGTATACAGCCCGAATCTTATCGTCTTTGCTCCGTTTACATCGACCACCTCGGCGAAACACACCTAAACCTTGTGTCTTGACTGCGTCTATACAAGTCGATTGATTTGTTTACTATTCGCTATGAGATATTCCACAAAGAGAAATAACTTGTACAATAATGTCCGAGTTTCCGAATGGAACAACAAAATCACAGTTTGAAACGCATTGAAATTTGGCCCACATTTCAAACGGCAACGTCGCAGATTTCGGTACGTGATAAAATATATATACATACTGGTATATGTATGATGATTCAAAGTATTTGTTCCGGATTCGATTGACTACAAAATGTCATTATATAGAATACTAGGTATATATATAAATTACTTTTAAATTGAAAATAACCCTCGGCAGTGTAGTTATTGATATAGATTTATGAATATTAATTATAAAAATATGGGTTTTATAAAAAATTAAAATAGATAAATGGTAAGCAAATACGACTATATATATATATAAGGTCAAGACATACTTAAATTCGTTGATTAGATTAGCGGCAACAATGAATTTGATAGTGGTAGAGATGTAGTCAAAGTTTAGATTTAGTGATTAAGTCAGTAATTTTGGAAGTTGAGAATTTTAATAATATGTATTTAAAAATACTAAACGAATAACATGGTATAATATTATGTGAATAAGTAATAATATAACATATTATACAAACTTGACCGTATTAAGAAAATAATAACCAATAATGGTAGTAATGGATTTAATACATTTCTAATATTTAATATGAGTTTGTCAAAATTTCAATATATCTTAAGCCAAGCTTAATGAATAGAAATAATTTGCATATAATATTATACATATACATTGTAATAATGAAAGTATATTAAAAGAAACCGAGTTTTACGTATGGTGAGATAGTATACGAGTATATAAATATATTATATACTAAAATATGTATATTACATTGGTATGAATGTAAGACACTAAGAACTGTTAATTGTATGCTCGTATGTAGGCACAACTATTTAATCTCTTTTCAGAATATTATTTTGTACATCATTGCGACCGCAGCGGGATATCTGAACGCGAAAGTCATTGACACGGTTTAAAACCATAGGGAATATATAAACTCATATATATATATTCTCTATGTATATGTATTGTATACAAGAGAGGAGATGATAAGAAAACAGATATAGAGAGAGAGTGGTAGCAATGTACAACAGGAATCATAAAATATACTGTACAAGGGCAATTAAAAAATATAATTATTACAAGATAAGTAAATACAAATATATAAATTTGTAAAAAATGTTTAAGGTATATGTTTTTTGCGAATAAAATGAATGAAAGCTAAATGACTATAAATATGACTCAGGTGGAACCAAAATAAAAAAAAAAAATTAAATAATAAAACTTAAAAACAGACTAAACTTAGACATTTGAAATTATTATATTTAATATGTGCATTTAATTTTTAGTACAAAAAATCGAATGTATTAAAATGATTATAAATTATAATAATTTTTTTACGCAAATTTATAAAGAAATTTCTTATATAATATGAACTGAAAGGGTTCCAACTTCCTTTTATATTCTATAAAATGTATTTTGTTTTATAATTTGTTGGTTTAATGCTTGGTTTAAGTATTGTAATGGAAAATAAATATTTAAAAATCATGACATATTATAATTGCATAGCTATACACATACAATTCAATATATTATACAAATTGTATTATGTTTGTGAAATATATAGCAATACATTTTTTATTCTAAGTAAACTCTTAAAAATGTTTATTCAATGCATATTATAGGCCCTCAAAATAAAAAGATACTTGTCATCATATTTAAGACTAGATCTCTACTCGGTAATACGTGTGGATGTACCTACTTGATATTCTTATCACATATACGAGCTTATAAAGACAGCCCTTTTAATATTATATTATGGTATATTATCCACGAGGTCACTACATCTACACGCAGATGTGGATCTAGAAATCTAAAAGGGGAAGAATACATTTTTTTTTCAAAAAGACAACAAGTATAATTTTAGTATAAATTAGGTATTATACATTTTTTCAAAATTTGATAACAATATTAACAATTATAATAATATTTTAAATTTATAGATAGGCCATAAATAGTTGTAGTATTTACTTATAATTACTATAGACATCATAATTTATAAGTATTCGTAACGTACACAGCATAATGTATATAACATGTCTAAAGGAGGGATAAAGCTCCCTAGTCTCAAAAGAGATCTACAGTTGCATGCGTGTGTTGTCTCGGTCTTAAATTTTAGAACACCGGCAAATTTGGGTTTGATAGTTCCAATGTTATGTGTTATTAGTTTTAATACTTAGTAAACTGACCACTTAAACTAAACTTGCCAAACTTAAAAGTAAGAATATTATCTGTTTCTATGTTGATTTTTTTTTCATATTTTAATTTTTACGCGAAATGATATGGCCTATTTTATATGAAATTTGACAATTTTAAAATACATTAGCTATGTATATACAATATACATAGCATCGCATGGTTTAATAACTCACCAACTATTTGCTCTAATTTCGATTTCGATACAACAATATTAAAAAAAAAAAAAAATCGCTTATATAAAACTGCATATAGTAATAAAATATAAAGAATAATCTCATTTAAAAAAGGAAGTTTGTGTAAGTCAACACAAAAATATCATTTACATATAAGTAAGTAATACGTCTCGAGACTTGAATGTTATCCTAAAAATCCGAAGTCGAATAAATGCATTATTTTACTATAGACGAAACGGGGTTGAGTGCGATTGGCGAATCGCCCTGTATACCACACTGCGTCGCGGTCGAGGTCGCCCCGCAGCTCAGCAAAGCGATATTGCGGGTCGGCGTACCGCTGCTCGAACTGGTCCGCCGGATCGCAGCTGTGGCGGCGACGAGACGGACCGCTAGCCACACCGCAGAGGTCGCAGGGGCGGCTCAGGCGGCTCAGTTCTTGTCAGTCGCGCATCAGACGCCGTGCGGGCCACTCGTCTGCCGATATCCTCACATGTAACAGCGCTGTAACATTGTTGCTTGCCTGCCACAGCGCAACGACAACAATTCAAATATTATTGCGCACAACACCGTTGCCGAAAACATAATAATATCGTTGACGGTCTGCTGATATTATTCGATATCTATAAAATCGTCTGAGCTGCAGCTGCAGCATGCAGTATTCGCAGCGACGGTGGTGCACCGCGGCGGTCCAGGTGCTGGTGCTGTCGGCCCTGGTGCTGTTGACGCACGGCGCCACGATCAAGTTCGACCAGAGCCAGACGGGCGACTACAACCTGCAGATACATCTGAAGAACATCGAACTGTACGCCGTGTTCGACGACTCGGGCGGCAACGACGACGAAGTGAGCGAACTACGCATTATCGGCTATGTAACATTCATAATATTATGTCGTATATTGTATTTACAGCTATATTATTAAGAGCCGGGACACTGATATTTTCGGTTGAGGTTTGGTTTTTAGGGAGGCGTAACGCGCGGTTTCGGTTTTAGTTTCATCAAACATTTTTGAATCGGTTAATACACCAATTTTAACTAGTTTTATTACGTCCGTCTGTCAAGTCGTGTCCAAAAATTCAGCTCGTCCCGAATCGGGAAATTTATTGTTAGACCACGGTTAGTGAATTATATATTTATATAGGTAATCACAATAATTCACCACGGCCAATATTAGAATAAGATTATAGACGGCATACGATGTCGAATAGCTGTGAACACGGCTTTGTACGTTAATAAAAAATAAATAAAATATAAACGATTGGCCACCTAGAAAAAAGCCTTTGTATTTTTCTAATACAGTAGACGCCGCTTATAAGACTCACGGATATAAGGTTCAGTCGCTTATTAGACTCAAAATCGTCTGGAACGGTCCGGACGTATCCGAATACATTAAAATAAATCGGTTTTAAGACTCAACACTTCGGTTATAAGACTCAAATTTCGTAAAATAAATAGTAGAAAATAAACTTTTTTGGTTATAATTTAGAAATAAATTGGTTTTGAAAAATGAAATAATATTCGTGTTGATTATTTCTAGTTTCTGTCGGTACCTTATAACGTATAATAATTTTTATCGCAGATAAAAGTTCACATTTATTGCAGCGATAATTATAACGATTATAATTTTAGTTTTTTATATCGGGATTATTAAATTTATTCAATAATAAAGTATGTAATATGTAATATGTGTTAATGTATTAAAATCAAAGCAAAATATGTAGTAAAATAAAATTTATAAATATGTAATTAATTTTTTTTCCACTTCGCCTATAAGATTCATTCGGTTATAAGACTCACTTTGTGCTGGTCCCAAAGTGAGTCTTATAAGCGGCGTCTACTGTATATTTAAATAAAGACTTAAGTTCCAATACTTTTAATATGCATGAAAATGGAAAGCTGTCCGTTGGTAAGCGCTTAACTTGAAAACGAATAAACCGATTGTACTCATTTAAAAAAAAAAAAATATTCGTAATAGTCGGAATAGGGGTTTTTATGACAAGAAAAATTGATGAATAATTAAAAGTACTTTTTTGATGTAATTTTTATATGAACTCGTGATCATATATGTTTGTACAAAGTTTGCTGGGTCAGGTTTAAAATATAAAAAAATTTTATGGACATAACGACGTTTGCCGGATCAATTGTTCTTTTATAAAGTTTGATTATTTTTGATACAGTTCCAGTCTTGGATTTCAAACTTGGGTGATGATTTGATTACAACATTTATAGGTAACAATAAGTATGATATGATAATAAACACTTACCGACTATTGTCGGTTTGATTTGACGGACTTCAATAGCAACAGTTATGAAATAGAAAGTTTGTAGTAATGCGTTTAATTGGCGGCTTATACTCTGTGCGATTGAATCTATTTATAATATTTATACTATTATCTTAATTCACATAATGAAGACAACTCGCTGTTGTATGTTGTGATCAGGTTGTAACCATTAGGTGGCTTTTTAATTTAATTCTTTCAAGCTATTTTTATGTATAGGTACATCACTCTCAGAGACTTAAACGCATTATTTTTTACAGAAAAGTTATTATTTATCATAGTTGATGTTATAATTGTAAGTTTTTTAAGTCAGACATAATTTTAAAACAATATAACTAAAAATAGTAAATGCCTTTTATATCCATAAAAAACGTATAGTTAAATATAATATAATATTATTATTTTAGTTTTAAAATATAATACTATAAATTTCGTATACTTATAAAAGTTAATTAGTACATATTACATTACGGTAATTATTTAAATTATGGCAATAAGGTTTTAGGCGTATTTAACGTTAAATTTTTAAAATACTGTAAAGTCTATAAATTTATAGCCATTTAATGTTTGCAAATTTTCCCGAAAAAAGGTATTTTTAAGAAATACTATGGATTTTTATGATATGTTTTGAAACGGTTTTTAATAATATACAAAATATTTAATAAAAGTAATACAGAGCTTTTATTAACGGTTTTATACAGATTGTAGAATTGTACATATTTAAATTGATTTTTGTTCGTATACTGCACTATTCAGTTTCTTTATTTATCTTATACACAGTTTGAGTTGGTGAAGTCTAATGATGAGATGACATTATGTGATAATATTACGATTTATACATAAATTTACATCTGATTATAGTTTTAATATAACCATAAAAAGTTGTAACGCTTATATTTATTAGTATTATATTTAAATGTATAGGTACTTAATGTATGAAGACTTTACTTTTCTACTTATTTCTTACTAAGAACATAATATAACTGTATAAATATACCTATATTTTAGGATAGTTTCAGGTTTTTTCATAAACTATCAATACTTACAATACTACTTAATTCTCCAATTCAATTTTAAATTAAAATTTTTATGTTGTTATTATAAGTTATAAAATTATAAATTCTTACTAAAACATTTTATTTTTTTGCTTTCATTTTTCTGATAATAACTTATGACTTCGATTTTTATAATTTAATCAGATGCAGAATAGTTTGTTAATGTGCTGTTTATAGGATACTAAATAAATTGATTTTTTTTCTAAGAAAAGTTAGGTGTATCTAATCTAAAGGTCTGATAAGGTTTTTGAACCAAACCAATTTATGTTCTGAAAATAATAAATTTTTTTCTTTAATTTATTAATTATATACCAAAGCGTTATTACAATTTTGGTCCGTAATATCAAAGCGTATTTCAGAATTTACCTACCATAAAAAAATGTTGGAGATCCCTAATTTAACTTATTTTAAACTTGTCATAGTAATTTACTAAATCACCAATCTAAATTCTAAATTATTATTTATATAAATAATATGTACAAAAAAAAAAAATTGATAGTTTTAAATGTTCATTTAAAAAAATTATAATCTGATATTCTAATTAATAATTATGAATTAAAAAATACGAAAAACTATATTTAAAACAAAATTTTTTCAATTTAATAAAAAAAATGACATTAAAAAAATAAATATTATTAACGGTTAAAAAGATTACTTATAAATCTATCTGTCAAATATGTTATACTGTGCTGAATATACCTAACTTATAGTTACACGATTTTTGTGTAGTACGAAGACTTACCCGACTACACGGATGCACTTGAAAGTTCGACTAAGCCACCGCAAAACGCATCCACAACTTACGCTCCTACATCAAGCACTGTGGCAACAGCGGCGGTCGTAAGTACGAGTTCACCTGCACTGGCGTTGTTGGACCCATACTCGCAGTCCAATAGTGACAAGATTGTTCAGATGGTCGAGGCGTTGATCGCTAGCAACGGAAACACTTCCGATTTACCCACCGAACAACCGCCATCGTCAGCGAACGCCGGCACAACATCGTTGTCACCACCGGCATCCGGTCAGTCTCCATCAGCCGTCGCCACAACTTCCACTGCTGCGTCCGCGGCCACGACGAACAGCACGGCTAACCGAAAGTGTGGACCCGGATATTTCAGGGACCCAATGGGCCGGTGTCGGCGCATCCGAAAACCACATTTACCGTAAGAACAGCATAATATAAAATATATATAAATATTATACCTGTATTCAAAATATATCGTATTATAGTATTATTAGGTACCTACTATGTACACATAATAATTAATAAATTACTCCCATTAATTAGTTATTATCTTATACATAAATTAATAATAGATCTATAAACAAAGTTTATTTTCTTATTAATTTATTAACTTATAATAATTAACTGTTTTACGTTTTTTGTACTCATATAAATCAAATTACTTTCTTATTATTATAAATTATGATTACCCAATGTTTGACAAAATAATATTTGTTTTTATGTCGATGTAGATAGATATGAACTCGACTAGCATGAGTTATCAACTATGCTCACTCCTATTTTTACCTTTAGCACCCACTCAGCTATTATATTATATTACACGTTACATGCTTACATGCATCCCTTAAGTATACATAAAATTAAATAACTCGAAAACTATTTATTCATATTTTGATTCATAAATGTATCAAAATCTACAAAAACCAAATAAAAAAATCACGTGTTAAATAATTCAAAGTAGGTAAAATGGGATATTTTTATTTGAAATATGCTTCTACCTATAATCTATTAGGCAGTATATTTAAAAATTTTATAAAACCAGAATTTGAATAAATGTATCTATTATTAAAGGTTAAAAAGGGATGGCTGACCATTTTTGGTTGAAAACACATTGACCTATATCATACTTTTCGTGTGAATTTACAATTTTTTCGAAAGTTAATGTATGATCTACCTAGTATCAAAGTATTTCATTAAAAATGCATAATCGTGATAAACGATAATGCGCACATTTACTATTTAGTCATATTTCTAATATATCTATATGAGTAATTGCAGTAACTGTAAACGTATGTACCTAACTGCTGTTAAGTGTTTTCGCGAACCAATCGTAACGGTTTATGAGAGTACTTTTCGTGCTTGTATGGTATACCTACATATTATTATTCAAATCAAATACCTGCTTCACAATTATAATATGATTAGTTATACCGTTTTTTCAGTTAGGTACACTAATAACATAGTGTACCGTATACGCGTACATAGGTAATATACAATTATATGGATAGATAATTGTAAAAATTCAAGTACCTATGTGTGACGTCAACTCAAAATATCTTTCAAAAAAAATTATCGCCGCACGAAACCACTTTGAATCGTAATAAACCAGCTGACACGTATCTACGGTTAAGCTAACGTCATTATGATATATATTGATATAATAATGATATACAAATGTCAAATACATAATGTCTTCACGTTCCTATAAAACAGGGTTCGGATGAAGTTAAATGACTTGCAAAGTATAGTTAATATGACTAATATTACATTATGAGATAACTGAAACGATATTACCTATTAATTATTGTCTATTTGAAAGGCGTTCGTGTTGCATGACTTTAATTTTTTTTGTCTAAAGATTCATTTTCCATGCTGCGTCTGGAGTCTGGACACTGCAGGGAAGACGTACCTACCTTTACTGTAAAATAATATTGTTTTGATTACAACGGTATAGGTGTTCGTGTACCTACCTACAACCTATACATTAACATTATTCGTCATCCGATTTCATTTTTTAACTTGGCGAATTCGTTAATTCGTGTATCAGAAGAAAATCGTAAACTACTCCCACCCCGCTATTATAATGTCTGCAATTTCAGAGTTGATAATTCGTGATTTTAACACTGCAATATATTAATGTAAATATAAGAAATATATAATGACTATTTTGCTTTACGTTTATAGGTTTTTACAAATGGTTCATACTCCAGGAGTAATTAAGTCATTCCAACCACAGTTAAGGACTACCGAAGACGTCAGTGTGAAAAATTAAACATATAAACTAAAATAATTTAGTTTTAATAAGTTGGCAAGCTGCTACGAACGAATTATGTCTTAATATTTATTGTTTATCTTTAATCATACCTACTTATACCTAAGAGCTTACATATATTATTATATTTAAACGTGTGTAATATATAGAATTTATATATATATAAAAAAAAATGTTATTCACAATACATTTTTTGAAGTTTAACATCCAAGTTTGTGGTCAATGGTCATTTTATTCAATTTATATTATTACATAATATGTAATAGGTGTATTAATTATTTTTAAACAGTCAGTCTCCCATATATTAAAAAAAAAAAATAAAATAAAATACGTTGATAAACATAGATGGATGGGTAGAAAAAATATTGTTAAGAACCAAAAACAGTATCATACTATTCTGTATTCATGAATGGTATAGTTGGCTAATTAGGTATATATGTTAATACATTACAATGTTTATCTATGTAATTTTATATTAATTTTAATTTTAAATACATTTTTACAATTTAATAACTATTTCATTTATTTCAATAACTTATCTGAAATCAACATTACTTAAGAACATAATATTATATAAATATAATAATACATTACCATTTAAATTCATAACTTTTTTTTGTGTTACACTTTATTCTAAATTCTAACTGCAAATCTTTATCCCTCATATCAGTGGCCACTGATATTGGCATGAATGGCCCATGTGTTTACTTGTTTCAATAACATTTGGGTAGGCTGGTGGTTGTAGTTGGATGTGAAGTGATTAATATAATTACTTATTTTACAATGACTCATAAATCATTATAGTATGATAAAATTAAAAAAAAAATTATACTACAACAATTCATTGTACAATAAATCACCTAACACAATTTAAAATTGCTTATAAAAAAATTGTGTATACATTTGATGTTTGAACGTCTAATATTATATAAATTTGAATTTCAATCGCTTACAAAAAAAAAAGTTGTAAAGAAATACAAGAGTGAATTATATTGAAATATAAGCGTATGTTATTTTAATACCCTCTTATTAATGTTTTGAAGTACTTGGTGGTATCTATAACGGATAAAATGGGAATGATTTTTATCATTTTTTTATATTGACAACTAAATATAAACATCTTTTATAGGCAGATGATCAGAAGTATCTTCAGAAATTTATATTATTTTAAGGATAGCTGCCACTGAAGCATATATTCATATACATTTTTGATTTTCTTATTCACAAACTGAAATCCAAAATTTAGTAGTATTAATTAAACTCATTAAATAATGGTAAAATAAATTCTATTTTATTTACTTCCTTTATTCAAATAAAATATACATAATAATGATTTGTAGTTTACAATTAAAATGCTACCAAATTAAAATAATTAAAAAAAAAATATTTACTATTAATGAAAAATGACAATTAACATATATTATTGAATATAAGATACAATTTCATTATTAGTTTTCATGATAGGCAATTTAAATAGTTATCTTCTGAGTTTACAGCCAAGGCTTTTCTCTTTGTAGTTAATCTTTTTTGTTGCAGATCTACTAGGTCTTACTGAAGAGATTGAATCATTAATATCTGATGTATTGCTTGATTCACTTGATCGTTTGGTTCGTTTCCGACATGTTACATTTCTCAGCATACTTGAATCAACAGAAGATAATACATCACTTAGCCGTACTTCAGTTTCATTAAATGTATCATCTATACTACCAAATAAAGTAGAAGTAGTCATTTGTACATCAGCCTGAACTTCATTGGATGTATCGAATCTAGGAGAACTATTAACATACTGTGTTGCATTAGTATTTTCGTTAAAATATTGGATTTGATTTTCTTGAGTATTCAACCAACTTGAGCCTTCACCAAAATTTTCATTTAGTTGACGTTTAGGACTTTCATCAGGAACAGTTTTGGAGTTTTTCAACAAAGTTGCAACATCCTTAAATCTTACATATGGTTCCACACTAAGTTTGCTGTGTGGTGAGCTTTTATAACTAGATCTTTTTGATCTTATTGGAGTTTGTTCAGAACTAGAGTTAGGACTTTCAATGATAGGTGACATATCAAATTGTTTTATTGAAACAGTTGGTTGAGTAATTGTCATACCATGGATCATATGTCTTGAAGTTCTCGTTTGTTTTTCTTTGTTAAAGTTTGTGATCTCAAATTTATTCATTTCATGTACACTTTCTAACATAGATGGGATACATTGTGACATAGTTACCAATGCAGGTACACAGCTTTGTATAGTTTGTTCTAGTGCACTAAGTTTTCTATGCATAATATTTTGCATTGCGGTTAGTTGAGTATTTGAATTTCGAATAGCATTAATTTCATTTTGCAATTCCAACTTCTGCAATAACAAACTATTCCTGGTGGTTGATAATTGTTTATTTTTTTCTGATAAATCTTCAATACGCTTACGTAAATTATTATTGGTTATCATACAGCGATTTAGTTTTTTGATAAAGACACTATTATTAAGCTTGTTTCGATTTCGAACCATTACTGTTTTGGGTGCCATGGTAAAATAATATTTAAATACTTATTAAATTTGCTTTGAGCCTAAAATAAAAAAAAAATATAAATATTTAAAGTTAAAAAGTTTAAAACTAATAGTACATATTAAACTCAGTTAATAAATGTTGAAGTATAAAAATATTGTTTAAAATTATTTGAGGTATTTTGAGATGAACGAGCTTTTATATCTCTTGGTAATTTATTTATCCTTATAATATTAACAATTATTAAATAAAAAATTGTAAATTGTAATACTTAGATAAATTTGCCTTATTATTGAAAGAACCATGAATATTCCAAATTTTTAATGAATTTTAAATGTTTATTTGTTTTTTAGGTACTAAGGATTCATATGCACATGGTAAAACTACCAAACATGAAATAATTTTAATTAAATTAAAAAAAAAAATTCTTTTGAATATAGTTATAGAAATATAGCAACGAAAATGATGAAAACAAAATTATAATACCTATATTATATATAAAGTGGAAAAAATATACAATTAATTATCATATGAATATGATATTTAAAAAATAAAAATACTAACACGATTGTTTATTAAAAAAAACTTGTTGACATTTTTAGAGAACAATTTATCCACAGGTCAAAATATCTAGAATATAATTTAGTATTTATAAATTATATTAATATTAAATATGGTATAATAGTATAATCAAATGGGGGAGCTCTATTTTTAAATTACTCACATCCCAGTCATTTGTCTCAATTTACCGTGTTTCAAGTTTTTATTATATTGTATATTTTTATGTTTAAGAATGTATTTTTTAAATTAAATATCTCTATAATTGTGTACATATTGAATAGTATAATATTCAAAAAATTAGAATCAAAGCTAGTCACAGGGGCGGAGTGGGAAAAAAATTTAGGCAAAGAATATAAATTTCCTCCAGACCACTCGACATTTTCATCTTTTGAATAGAAACTTTATTTTATTAATATATATAATGAATTTTGTATTTAAATGAATATGGGTAAATAACAAACATAAAAATTCATAGCATAGGTATATATTTCATTGATAAAACTATTAAAAAAAATTTAAATCTAAAATCTAAAATAGGTAATCAAAATTTAATAATCTTAAAAATGTTTTTATACAATAAATGTTAACAATATGATCGATTTTAATTATTGATAAATCATTATTAGGTGTTGTAAAGCTTTGGCAAGTTATAAAAATAGATAAACTTGCATACATACTATGTACGGGCTACGACAAATTCATATCGAACGACAAACAGCCATTGCTTATTATAATTCAAATATCAAAAATAATTTAAAAAGGATTATTAATTAAATTGTTAATATAATTTTTTTTTCATGTATAGATAAATATACTTCTTACATTACTCTACCTACACTATTTTCATATTTTTTATTTATCTATACTTCAGGCCAATAGGCCAATTGGCTTCCAAGATTTTTTGTGGTATCCAGATGGGCCACTCTGTCTCTGGCTACAGAATAGAACCATCATAAATCAACAAATTTCAAATTTAAGAGGACGCTACACAGATATTTGTTGTCTCTGTCTTACAGCGCGTAATATAGACAATTTATGTACAGCAGATTAGGTTTAGCTTTGTTAGTTTAACTTAGAGTGAATTGACTTAAAATGAAATTTGATGGTAAGAAGATTATCTGTATTTGTATGTGGATGTTTTACGATAGTTCAATTTTTTAGTGATTTTTGTGTATCTAAAATATAGTAAATTAAAAATGATCATAACTCATTGAAAAAATTGAATTATCCAAAAACCCCACATACAAACATAGAAAATTTTCTTACCATCAACTTTCATTATAAGTTGATTTACTTTATTTACTCTATTTTTAAACTAACAAGCTAAACCTGATCTGCTGAACGTAAATTGTTTATGTTACATACTTGTAAGACAGTGACAACAAATGTCTGTGCAGTGTCCTCTTAATCTTATTTTATTAATTACATTGAAAAACGTAATATTGTATTAAGTATTATTTAAAGTTCACAAAAACAATTTGATTATAATTTTTTTGTTAATATTATTGTTGTAAATAAATTTAAATGTTGAACACTTTTACTTACAGTACTTAAGATTTTTAATTATTAAACAATGATCTGATACATATAAGTTATTAAGTACTATTGAATAATATTAACATATTTAAAATTAAAATTTATCATCATTTTATGAATAAGATCACTCACTTAAAATCGGACGTTTAAATTAAAACACGAAGTGTTTGGATCAAAGTCTATGGTAAAGAAAACTGGAAAATAATAATTAAATTATTATTAAATTGCATACAAATAGATTATAAAAAATAGTCTCGATTAGTAATTAGTAATTACGTAACTGTTTAGTGTAGTCCGAGCAAAATAAATCAACAATTACTGCACCACTAAAGTACACTTAAAAAGTATATGAACTATAAACTAATAAAGTAATAACTAAATAGCGATTAGTAATGAATATTATATTTTTTGTTAATGGCCAATGCATACAAAATAATAAAAACTTCAAAATTGAAATAATGACTAATTAAATATGAATATTGAATACTGACTTTAGATTACAAAAATACAAAATATCGATAAAGGAAATTTTTATCCATGAATAACCTAGCAGATTTCAAACGTAAATAATGTTAAACAGGGTTATAACTGAATTTCAAAAACGACACAAGATCACCAGACACATTTACCCCCAATTCCTCAAGATGACACATTATGTAATATGTACCTACCTATTTGTGTTATAAGTCATAACCTGATTATAATTTCTTCGCACAAAACGACAATGATACATCGTCCAATAAATTTACGTTAAGTGACGTATATTTTAGTAAAATAAATAGTTCTTTGTGTAATAATTTTTTAGTTATATGAAATGAATAAATATCTTTTATATCATCTTTTGATTTTGAAGTTATGTAATATTATTACTTATTTATGTATTAAATCGGGGATTTAAAAGGTATTATTTCTGTTTTTTAAAACAAAATATCTGCGCTCTAGTAATCAATTATTATATATTACTAATCATAGTCATTACTTATTTCATAAATGTTCATTTCGTAATGTCTAATGACTGTAGTCGCAGTGTCGAGCTAATTGGTATATGATTTGTATGGCTTGTATTTTGTTTAATTCGTTGACGATAGTTTAGCATATTTTAAGTAGCTAAAATTTATGTATTTGAATTGACAAAATTTTACACTATGGACTTTGAACAGCAGTGGAGATGACGGTTGGTGGCCAAAACAAAAAAAAAAATGATAAAAATGAGAAAGTGTGTTGCCAACCCAAAAGCATAAATCGAAACGGAATCGACCATTATCGTTTGTTCCACGACTCGTGCTTGTAATCTCGATGTGTTGTCAAAATTGTCGTCGGGGCCCAAGACAGCTATTATAGAGTATAGACTATAGTATTATATCACGATATATAATTATATTCATTAATCATTATATTTCATTGTGTACCTCAGTCATCGGATAAAGTTTTAACATTTTTCTTTCGCGTCGAACGGTAATTAATAATTATAACAACAACATTTACGTGACTCTGGTATTCGATAAATCCAGACATATCGTACACCGTCGATATTATTTATAGCTGCAATTTTTTTTCTGCTCCCGCCAACTATGCCTCGACCTGCCGACCAGTGGACGTCGTAATAAAACGCACACGTACAACATCCGATAACGCGCTGAGTGAGTAGCATGTACAATATTATGGCGGCTTGTGACCCGGGCACAACCGAACCCTACGAAAGCTGGGAAGCTCTAGACGATCCGTCTGTAAGTCGTGTTTTTACTGTTTTTCTTTGTTGAGTCTGATAGGTTGGTCAGTCGACCCATCTTTTGGTGTGATTCGTCGTGTCGGTTTGATTTTCCTATAGATCTGGCCAACTCGCCGATAGCACCTACCCCAATGCTACATAGAGTATAGCTCCTCTTCGTTTACAGTCACTGTCTAACTATTCTTTCTATTATTGCTTTTATATATAGATTCTCAGCACTCAGATAAAAAAAATGCAACTGGCGTCTGCTACTAAAAATGAAAAGTGACTATTTTTAAACATTATTTAGTCGTGTTAATTTCTTTTGGACATATAAACTATTTTTCCATGCAAACATTTTTAGCAATAGCAATGTTGTAATATTGCCACCTGGCTTACAATTGTCATATAACCATCATCAACAAATGACAATTCCTCAACAGCCTACTGTTAAAATACTCAAACGACCACAGAAGGATAACACTACAAATGAAAATGCTGATAAACCTAAAGTACAAGTTAAATCTTTGGAACAAGTATGAAATTGAATGTCTGTTCAATTGTATAAAATTCTTCAACACATAAAATTTTGCTCTAGAGAAAACAAGAATATGCAGAAGCTAGATTACGAATAATGGGCGAAGAACGTGAAGAAGACTTGAATGCTGATGATGAAGGGTAATTTTTAATAGTTTAAACAAATGGATTTTAGTATTGCTAATATAGTACTTATTAATGATAAGACTGAATTATTAAATTAAATCATTAATTACATTTTGTAAACTAAATAACTCGGTGAATATTTTTTACTTCATATTATTGTTAATATATTATAGTATTTGAATCGTAGGTATTAGAATATTTAATTTATTTCTTATATTTTTAAAGGTTTAATATTTAAGTTATTGCTTTTTTTAATTACCTATATTTAATTTCCTAGTGTGAAAGTTATGAAATTAATAAGACTCTTGATAATAGCTACATTAACATTTACTGCTTTTGTAAATAATATTAAAATATATCATTCATTTTCTGAGGTTAGGTTAGATATATTTTTTATTTTGTTTGTGTAAAGAGGATTTTAAGAAAACTAATGATAAAAAAAAGAATAATTCATTTTTTTAATTAAAATTCACAACATTTTTAAATATAGACATGTTCAAATAATATATTATGTTTCATTAAAAAAAATATTAAATTAATGTAGTGTTTATGTTATACAATTAATAACATCCAAAAATGTCATCATTAATATTGAATTGGTATTTATTATAGCCATGATAGTTTTATAACTTGATAATATCTTATTCTATAATATTAGAGGTCACATAGTGGACTGCTTCCAATATGTAAGTTAAAATCATTTTAAAAAGCCCTAAAATATAAAATTATTTAAAATATTACGGGAAAAGAAAGATTATTATTTTTCAATTGATATTTTCCAGGTTAAAATGATTATTTTAGAATTATAAAAAATTAATTGGTGTATAATCGTTATTTTTCATTTTTTATGCTAATGAGTAATGACTAATGAGTTACAAGTTAAGTCTAAATATTTAATTTTAATTTTTTCTTTAAAATCTTAACTTAGTTACTTAGTTTATACTAATTATTTACCCAAAATAAAAAATTACTTTAATAATACACATTTTGAAGTATTCATATTATTGTATATTTGTATAATAGGATTAAAAATAAATTACTATCATTCTTTTACTTGTCATTTTTGATCTAGAACTCAACATTTATCATGAAGGATAATATCTGTTTTATTTGTATTGTATTTTTATTTTTATTTTTCGTTTTTAGAGCCAGTTCTTCAGGTAGTATGAAATTTGAAGTACTTCGACAGCCAATAGTTCGTGTTGCTGTTGAAGACAATGTAATTCGACAGCCCCGTGGGCCTGATAATACCAAAGGTTTTAATCATCGAAGCTAACCCTAACAATTTAGAAATTTTAAGTAAATACTTTTTTTTTAAGTGCAGGATTTTCATAATAAAACAATTATTATCTATATTTTACTTTTCTAATGTCCATTTGTAAATATTAAGAACGAATGATAATACCTCTGGAATACTCAATATTTTTAGGAAAAAAAGGAAACAAAAAGTATTTATTCTTTTCCAGTGACATATTTGATAGTTGATACACATTTAACCAATGACAAGATCTAGTCAGACTAAAATACTTGATATATTATATTTTCATTAAATATTCAGTCAGAGGTATTTTTCTATGATTGTAAATTTAAATGTAAATAAAAAAGCTGTGTGTTCAATTGACGCGCTATATTTTGTTGATAAATTAAAATTAAGTATTTTTAAAACAAATATTCTTAACTAAATTATTAAAAATTTATTTTGTAGTAGTTTCTTTAATGCCAATATTAATCAGTTCAACAAACATAAATATCTAAAAACTATGTTATGTTGAAATTATTCATATTTGTTTAATTTAGCATTCACCTAACGACGATACTTAAATTTATATTTTTTAATTTCTAGTTACTGTTTTTTTTTTTAGATCATTGTTAATTTTCGTTCAAGTTTTAATAAATTCAATAGTATTGTTGTAATTTATCACTTATTGTAAATTAGATTTTTGTTTCTTAAGTGATGTAAATGAATATGGTGAAGGTATTAAGGTATGTAGAGGACTTTGAGGACTTAGGACTATTACCTTTATAATTTACTTATATGTATATATATACATATATTTTTTTAAATAAATTTAAAAATGAGTGAATAACTTGTAAAATTTTAATAAGACCATTAATATTTTATAACATGGTTAAGAGATTATATTAAACTTATAGTTATTTAATTGCAGCAAACATATTTTTGTGTCTATTTTTATCATAATTCTATGCAGAGTTTGACAATAAATTAGACCTGTTAAATTTACATGTATTTTGTTAAATTTAAAACTGTTATTCATAATATATTTACATTCCACATGGATGGTAAATAATGATCCTCATGTGTATGGTTTATTTGTGCTTGAATACAGTAAACTATTTCTGGGTGGTAATACTGTTTGAACAGGACACCATGATTTAGCGCAAAGCTGATTTGGCATTCGCTGAGAATTACACAGGCACAAGTTGCAAAAACCAACAAATACCAATTCTCCTGGATCGCATGGACCTATAATAACAAATGTAATATAAATTGTAAAACATGTAGTAATTGGAGTGTTGTTTGTAAATTTATTAAGAAAATGAGGTATTAATTGTCGTGTTTTTAGATATTAGTATTTTAATAAGTATGCTAAATTAATTCTTATGATCATATAAATCATAAAATCTAAAAATATTCAGTTAACATATTATAGTTTAATTTCAAAAAATCCTCCAAATGTACCAAAAAATGTAGAGGGTACCATATAACCTGTAATTTATGACATTGATTTTTCCAGTGCCTTTTTTTTTTGGAGATAGTGTTCTCATAGTTTTACCAAATCTTAACAATACATAGAGAAGAACTTTATTGTGGTATAGCTATTAATTTTTCCATAACTTAAGGATGACTCCAAATTATTGGTTTGTAGAAAATCATTTATTTTGTTTATTTTTCATTTGTTTGCCTATAATAAACTAATGATTATTGATAATAGAAATTAAAAACACTACGATTAATAGTTATATTTTATATAATGTGAACATTTGATTAGTTTGCTGTAAATATTGTGCTCGTTAGTTTGTCTTACTAAAGACTGTATTTTGTATAATCTTGTTATTACACAACAGCTATTTTTGGTGGTTACGTGACCATTTAGCACTCTTAAAATACTTTAATTAGTATTGAAATATTAAGTTAGTTTCTCAAATTGTCATTAATATTGCCTATATCAAACCCCTTAAATTTCTGACATCTCTTCATGTATGAAGTATTTATAGCAATAATGAACATAATAAATGCATTCATAATGCCTAAACTAAATTTTTGTAGTTATTATGTGTCAAGTGATCGTTGTTGAATTAATTTCTGAAGACTGTTATGAATTATGATTTAATCGAATTTTGGTGTTTGCTGTTTTTGTAACTACAATTCGTTTAGACTTATGAAGCAGATTTTTAGTGTTATGTGCTATCCTTTTTTATAATTGGAAAATTATTCATTTACTCAGTTCTGTAGAACGATTAATTACATCAGATATTTAAACAATGTTAGGATGTTCATAATTAGCCATCAGCGACTGTTTTTTGTAGGTAAGTACATTGTTTTGATTAAACTTTCAAGAAAGTTGACGACAACATGTTCTTATAACGTTTTTTTTAACACCACCTTCTTACGTTACTAATCAGTTGTAAAATTTTAATCTTAAGCTGTTAAAACGAGAAAACATTTAAAATTATATAACGTCTCCATGGCAATGTGCCCATATATGGTTATATTATGTTAATATAATTGTCTGTGCGAGGAAATATTGCCAATATATGTTACGTAATATCAATGGGGGAGTATGATAATTATTAATCATTGTTTCAACTTGCTCGTTTATAAAGGGAATTAAAATTATCAGAATCATCCTAAATCGTGCTTTATCTTGCATGTCCGCTATATATGCAATCATTTATATATATATAGCTATTTGCTATTGTTATTTCGTGTACTCGACGATTCGTTACGAAGTGTATAAAATATACAGTTTAATTCGTCGATAACATATAAATAAAAAGAATAAGATGAACATAGAACTTTTAAATTAAACTGTTAGAGGCAAGGGATTATAGCTTCTCCAGAGTTGGTGGTTTTCTGTGGTATTACCTTAAACTTAATTTGTCAAAGAAGTTTTGGGATCGTATATCCGATAATTGATAGGGACAATTGCATATAAAATTTAAAATTAATTGATTGATATAATAATATACAAAGTGATTTTTTTGTAATTAACACTCATTATTTCTAAACTTATTAATTTTTTAAAAATATTTTTCTTGCATAATTTTTAGTTAAAATAATATTTTTTTTTAAATATATTTTTTATCGCTATAATTTTTAAGTTTTCACTTTTTTGACAATATACATTTTTAATTTCATATTTTGAAGCAGAATATTTTTCAGAATATTTTGACATATAAAAATTAAAAATAGAAATTTGGACGAGTAGTTTTTAGTTATAAGTATTTGAAGTATAAGTGAACAGAGAATAGTAGACCAACATTTTAGGTGTATCCTCGTACTACTCAACTTCGTTAACTTAAAACTTTAAGTACTTATAACTCATAAACTACTTATCCTTTATTTGTGTATGTTTTTTGTTTATCAATCATTGAATAGAATGCTCTATTCTAGTTCGATCGTTTAAGATGAATGATATAAATAAATACAGTATTTCGTTTACCTATATAATAATTATAACTTACCTTTTCATATGAATAATGATAGCTAAATGTAGTCATTATCGAAACCAAGAGCCCTTCTTCCCTAAAAATAGCTTTCAGCTTTAAAGCCCTTCTAAAAGAATTTGAAAAATAATTTTAATATTCTACTTTCTGAATATTGTAAACAGAAAAAAAGTTCTTAGCATAAACAATGTAACAACTGGCTACTATTATTTATTAAAACGCATTAATACATTTTTTCTTAATTTTAATGCAATGTTTGTGATATAATAAGTAGGCGTAAACTACTAAATTTATTAAATCATCAGTATTATTTTTGACACCTCGGTCGCTCCATATGTTTAGAGTTTTAGATTAAAGAAAATTTAAAATATCATGGTGTATGTAGGCGATACATTATTAATGAACACTTTAAGTACTACCGATTTGCATTTTCCCGGCACAAACTGCCCACCACTCATTCGACTAAATATCGAGTCCCTCCTCAAATATTACTCTCGCGTCAGAGACTTATAACTATCCGCGGTTAGGCGTCTCTCGATCAACGTTTTTAATCGGAGCAAATAAAGGTTATTTTTTATTAAACTCGATTCGAAATATTACACACGTCAAGAAACTAATGTCCAAAACATCTCTGCAACAACAAAAGCAACAAACGGTAACCGCTGCGATGTTTATATAGTTTGTACCTAACATAAATACTGTATCATACAGCGGTATGATTTGCAACTGCAGTCGGGTGTTCGTCGCGTAACGAATAAAAACGACAACAGTGTACAAAATAACACATACCCCACAGCGGTTATAACTTCGGCGCATAGTTGTATGATGTAAAGGTACATACCTTCGGGCTTGACGTTTCGCAAGCCGTGCACGGACGCTGTGGCGACGGCGCTGAATACGACGATAAATAATCGCAGCCGATAGAACGGCCTGCCACAGATTCGCATTTTTGACGGTGCCGGAGATTCGTCACGGGCGCAGTCGCGGGTTGCTCTCATAAATTCCCCGATATGAATTATTGATACTACGCCGTTTTGCGCAATAATTAACAGGTGTCCTTACGCGGGCAACTCGGCGGCAGCGGCGGAATGGTGTGCAGAGCAGTTGATGCAGATTACGCGGAGGTGTAACCACCCAGGTATATGGGTAATGGTTTAGGTACTACGTGTAAATTAATTCACGTTAATTACTACGAGCATAACATGTTTCTTGTATTCAACACTGTTATGGCACCCAAAGATGTATTATACGTGTGCATACGAAGTTATGCGTAGGTGCCCAGCGTCATTTGATATACGGTCTTATCGCACGTATTTGTATAATAAATCAAATACTGTATGCGCGCGCTCGCGCCGACCTTGATTGTTAATCAGTAAATTGGCCTAACGACCCGCGTTAAAAACCAATAAACGCTGGCCGTCGGTACCTAATAAAAAAAAAAAAAAAAAAAAAAATCAAACTGCACTGTAGACTCGCATCACATTAATACGATAATATGCCTATTGCCTACTGCAATTGGTAGTATAACGATGCACCTAGCACCTATTTGTTTTATAACATACCGACACGTTAACTTTATTTTATTCTGAATAATTATATTATATCTGACCGTGTATCAGTGTGTGTGTGTGTTTGTGATACAAGAGGCTGTTCGTGACAGTTGCAGGAGGGAGTTCACCGCAGACCGTATTATAATATGGTGTAATGAAACCGTGCCGCAGTTGCGGAGTTATGGGTTTTTTTTCCAGTCGTATTGTGGTTCAGTTTGGCGGTAATCTGGAATAATTACTTACTGCGGTAAACGGCTGAGGTCTGAGGATTCAAGTATTAAAAATAAATAAAAGGGCTAAACATATAAATGAATTGGACGTTTGCAATTACGTGATTTGGAGTTAGTTTTTCTAAACTGCACCTACCCAATATTATTTTTGCAAGAATTCGTAATTTTTGAAAGCGATAACTGATAATGCAAACTATGAATAGAATATAATTTAAACTATTGTAAGTTTATTATCAGAGACTACTGATCCATAGTATTATAGCATTTTATTGACTAATAAACGAGAAAGGAATCGTTGAAATGTATATACATATATTTTAATTGTGGTTCTGGATGTTCACTTTTTCTGGTATAGTATAATGTACGATTTGTGAACAGTAAAAAAAAAAGATCCTTCTTTGTTTGTATCGCGGTATAGTACGGTATAAAAATATAACATCTTAGTTCTAATTTTTATCAACATACGATATTAACTATATACTATTTATATGATATTGAATAACTGCAGGTTAACGGGTTACCATTGAACTTGAGTTCATTTACCACGATTTATGTGGTTTATTTAGCAAAGTAGGTAACGTATTAAACATACATTATTTAAATAATATTAATACATGATACTTAACATTTTTAGAAATAAATGTATAAAACTATTATATTCGCTAAACCCAATACTTGGTTTGATCGTAACTACAAGTTCCAGTGACTGGAGTTGGTGTTTACTTTTATTTTTGATTTAATATGAACAAGGGATCTGTGCGGTATGAATTTTATTCGTTTTTTATCTAACAATTGAGAGCTTTCTTTTTCAGTAAACAGTTTTTCGGTCAATGGAAGGGAACGAAAAGTATCACGCACTACTAGTTACTACTATGTATATTATGTGTCCGCACCTAGCTCTGTCGATCGAATATTGAATCTGCACTTTAGAAGTTTGGTTTTTTTATTTTATTTCCATAGACTGTAATATACCAATATACGAGTATTAATATATTATTGAGGTGATTTTTAAAATTTTTGTTTTTATAAGGCATAATTTACGACGAAATAATGATGATATTTTACTGCTATGCTCTCTTTATTTATTGTAGCTATTTATTGTCGCGTTAAATGTAAAGTTGTACCTATTTATTTATTCTTTAAAATCATTTTGTATATTTTCTATTTCTATTTTTTTTCACCCAATTATATTTGATACTGTCCTAAGAAAAAAAAATAAAATCGAAATTTCCAATTAATATTAAATGGAAATCATAAAGTCTCTGATTGGCAATTTGTACCTTGCAAAAACACATTTACTTTGTACAAAATTTTTGATTACACAATTTTTCCATGTATAAATATCGAAGATTTAAATTCATATTTGAATTTATAAATTCACTCATAAATTATCATTTTATTATGACAAGTTTTAGACAAGTACCTATAGACCAGCGTTTTTTAACTTGGGGGTCGCGATTTTCTTAATTAAGGGCCATGTAAGTCAAAAATAATAAAACGCTGATTTAAAAAATGAACCTTTTTATTTAAAATTTTTTATAATAATAATGCTAATAATAATATAAATTAATCAAAATTATAAAATAAATAACCAGTGTGATCGTTGAATTTGTTTTACACTTAAAAGTTGCTTAATCTGTGCTTCAATATTTAAAACACATAAAAGTAAATTAATTTTAGTGATAATAAACGATTTTTATTGCTACCATAGAGCAGAATCGTTTTTCACGTAAATAAGTAGCGAACGGAATCAATATTTTTCATAATACATAAAAATAATATTAATAATAATAATCAGTCGATTAAATGTAGATTGTATATACCTCAACAATAAATAAGAGCACTCTACTGCTAATGGTTTTCCCAACGACCCGAGACATAAAGTTTACCTGCGACAAGTTTAAATTACTACTCATGGTATTTATAAATTGATATTCGAAATAGTATACTTAGTTTGGTTAATCGGATAATGATATGATATTTTTATTGTTCAAGTTTGTACTTAAATACTTAATATAGATAAGGGGGTCGCAAAGTGATCGACCTATTAGTATAAATATTCGTATAAAAGGTGTGAATTGACGATCAGTGAATGTGCAATTTTCTTGAAATGTTTCATGGTGCATTTAATTTTAATTTTTAAACAGAGTATTGCAAGTTAAATCTAGCTTGGTTACTTTGGAAGAAATTATAACCGCGAGATATTGCATATAATATTACGTTACTCGAAAAAAGTTTCACTTGTACGATTTAACTTACAATTATTTGTCTTCCCAAGGTAATGTTTTATTTTATTTTATACCAATTTGAACTTTTTAATATACATTTTTATTACATATGTGTTGAATTGTCTTTCAATATATACGAATAGCTGTATATATTATTATATATTACATTTTATATTTAAACGTGTTTTGTGGTATAAGGCTTTTTATTAGACTAAAAAAAGTATATATTAAAAATTCCATATTTTATATAATTTTATCGCCAAACGTTGAAACGCCAACTTGAAATTTTGTACGGCAGTATAAAGCTTAGTTATAGTTTCATACCAAGAACTTATTTATTTGAACTGGATACCACTAAACTTTATAAATTATAACTACTTCACTACACTCACTACCCACATTATCATGCGTTGAGCTCATGAGTACGTTAATTATAATAATGCATTTAGGTAAGTACCTATAATATTTACATCAGTAGCACCGAACTCATACAAATAGTATTGAAGAGCTAGAACATAATAAGGATTTATAAGTTTCAGGAAGAAATTAATTAATTTAATGAAAAAAATTACTATGTAATTATATATTGTTTCAGTTTGTATATAATGCATTATACATATATTTTAATTTCTGGCTTCACTGACGTAGATACATCTATTTTTGTGTAAAGTGCATGAAACTGTGACGTGTTGTACGAATTGCAAGAGACATGAAGTCATATGTTATAAAATAACGCGTTATTTTACAAAAAAACTATTTATGACTACACCACACTCCTTCACCATACCCCAAAATACTTTTTATTAACGTGTTTACAAAAAAAATAAGTGCGTTGTAAGATTTTTTTTTTTTAAATAAGGTCTAATTGTATGTTTAATAAAAATGGCTTGTTAGTTGTTACACTGTAATGGAGATAGTAACCGTTTGTTATATTGTTTTTTCAGTGTTATAAATTATAATATAATATTATAAATAGATGTATTTATAGTTACCTACTATTGTGTGTATTATAGGGACTATCCTGTATAAACTATTTTTCGGTGGGCGGCAGATATGTAATCCACAAGGCGTCTGATAATGATGATAATAATTTTATTAATAATGAAACAGTTGGTGGGTGTTAAGCATTTTATAGTTAAAAATAAATTATTTTTATTATTTATTATCAGTTTGTCATTATTATTGAAAACAATTTTGGCACTAGAATACTAGATGTCCGACGTCTGTTTTAACCTAGCATTTTGTAATTTGTGTTGAAATATTATGAAGGTCATTTAAATAGTAGTTATTGCATTAATGTTATTATTAATTTGGAGTGGGCTTTAATGTTTTTAAGACAAATACAATTTTTTATTCCAGCCGCCAAAGCGCTATGCAATATGATATTAATATACATAGCTAACTAAATACATGTAATATATTAATTGATTGAAAAGTTAGAAGGTATCTCTAATTAAAAATATAGTATGAATATTTTAGTGTAGATTTTTAAATGTTTTTACAAGATAATCTGATTTTTAAAATTATTAAATATGCTTAAAGATCATATTTTTAAATTTTTTAAATTTTTTGTACTTCTAATTTTCAAATGAAAACCCCCTCATATACAATAAATTATTTAGCGGATAATTTCTCTGAAAATTTTCACGTATTAAAATAAAAATTCGTAAGAGTAGTTTTTGAGCTCTTTAATTTCGTGTACTAAGGATAAAAGGTCCACGATGACGGGTTTAGAAGATAGGAAACGGGGGTTATGGTGATCTAAAAATTTTAGTGGGTAATTAATATTAGTTAATTAATGTTTATAGTTTGCAAAAATGTTAAACTATTAGTTAATGTATGCTGGGTTGCATTAACAATTGATTAATTTAATGATTCAATAAAATGTAATGAACCAATCACGGGTCGCTAAATCATGTTTAAGGGAATATTGGCTTAATATTAATTCAATGAATGTTTAGTGATTGTTCGTTTACCCCGGCTTTATTATATTAGTATACTTTTTAGTATCTACTTATAATAAACAGATATTAGGTACTTAGCTAATACCAATGACAAATACACTACTCGTTGTTATTTTTGTTATATTTTACATTTAATAGCTTTCTTACGTATTTCTGAGTAATAAATTTTATTTTATTATTTATTAAATTAACCAAGTAAAATAAAGTTTAATTAAAACTAATGTTAAATAAATTTATACATTATACACCGACACATTTAAAAAAATTATAATTGGTAAAAAGTATTGACACATCA